GTGCGGGGTGGAGAACCCTCACTCCGCGCAAGGGGGATGATCGCACCACGTTGTGTTAAAATGGTCAAGCACCCTCGAGGCAGTTACACAGTGCTTACAACTGTCTCAGGAAGAGAAAGCACCAGAAATGAAATTAAGTCATATGCAGGTGTCATCCGAACGCAAGGAAGTAGGCACAGCACCCATACGTAGGGCAAAAATTATGTTGGACCGGAAGAACAAAAACAAATTATCTATGTTTTAGAGGGGTAGAGCCGGGTAGATGCTGCCCTCCCACCAATCACATGTCGACTATGTAGGACATTATGTTGGACAGACACAGCTGATTGGGCGATGGCCACGATGGTCACGCCGCCGATGGAGGAACCTCCCGAGAGACACGGCACAGCAGCAGCACCCGAGAGACTTCACAGCAGCCACAACACAGCAGCACCCGAGACAACACACGAGAAACCAGCAGGAGCTCAGCAGCAGAGCAGACAAGTGGTCCCGCACCGGGAAGCGGGCCGATAACATGCAGGCATGGCGATTTGTTGTCACCCTCGCCCTGCTGGTTGGTCTCTTTGGAGCCTTAGACCTCTCCTTGCTGAAGACACGACAGTCCAGGCCGGCAAAGTGTGTTTTCGGCAACCCGGAGGCCCCGGTGCTGTGTGCCTCGCCAGACCACGTTAGCAGAATCCGACCCCAGTTCCTGAGCCCTTTCCTTGGCCCGGAGCCCTGGCTGCCAGCATGTGTCGGTAGGGCAACAGCAAACATCGTGTCCTGCTTTTCTTTGTGCTGGCTCAGCTTTTTGTTACTTCGCATCTGCAGGTCGGCGTCAACATCAATTCGGACGCGACGTATCTAGAGCGGGACTACGGGGTCGAAGTGGCGAACACGGTGGACTTGCGAACTTTCGCAAGACAGAGCTGGGTGGAGACCCCGTGTCGTTCACTGGCGGGTATGACGTCTCACTTGCTTGGGAGACAGTTGCCCAAGGATCCGGTCGTCCGTTTGTCTCGCTGGAGTGCTCCCCTTGCTGACAAGCAGGTGAATGATTTTTTTTGTGGCGCCTGTTCTTCTTTGTCGACTGCTTTACCGCTTGCGCCATTTTAACCTACTCAGGTCATGTTAGGTGATACCTACTTTCTGCTACTCCCTGATGTGACCGTTACAGGTGCAGTATGCCTGCTTGGATGCTGACGCGTCCGTTCTTGTTCATCAGGAGGTGGCGAAGTTCCAGGATCCTATTCTTTCCCCTCCTCCGGTGGAGCTGCAACCCGGAACAAAGGTGTGTGGATACAGTGTATCGGTCGTACCGAACTCTTCCTTTGTCCAGCACAAGAATGACGCCCGCAACCGAATCTCATACCTGGGTCGACTTCAACATGATTTCCATGTGATATCGCCGTGTGTGTTCATGATGCTAGGTACGACTCTACAGTAAAAACCATGCCAGCTGTGTTGGTGTTGGAGAGGTACAGGACGATGAAATCGCTGCCGAAGCCTTGGATCGCTGGCGCCCTTCCGCACGGAGAAAAGGGCGTCTGACGCAAGTGGTTGTCATGCTGAGCGGGGTGTTCAAGCCTGCGGCGTACATCCCACACAAAGGTGCACCACGTGCGGCCTCGGGTGTGGGTCGCGTGACGATGAAAGACGCGAACAGTGACAAAGGTGACCGACTTGTGCTTTGGGACATCGCCCATGTTCGTCTCGTGAGCGACTGGAAACCACTTCCTGCGGCAGCAGCACCTTCAGCGAATGCGAATGATAGTGCAGCTTACGACGACAACGACCAGTTCTACGCTTCCAAGAGACCTCCGCACGTGGTGCAC